AGGTGCCTCTCCTCACCCCTGACGGAACCGTCCAGCCGCTCATAGCTGTAGCCTTTTTAAACAAGCAATATTTATGTTTCTGAAATTCCACCTATGCTCTTCCCTCTTCCCTCATTCTCTAGTGTCTCACTGCTGTCCTGAATCGTTCTACGCCAAATCCTCCTGCCTCAATTCTCATTTTATTGCCTTTGATTCCTTCGTTCTTTCCCAGTTAAACCTCGTATAAACTGAAGTAGTGACCCTGACTTCCAGATTGACTGTCGGTAAAGGGTAATTCAGCCGAGGCTGAAGCAGAGACTCTCAGCATTTAATTTACTGCTTGGAAACACAACAGGAAAATTCAGAGCCAAAGTAAAAGAATGTTAACACACAGTCCCATTTTAGACTCTGCTGTGCTGGCTGTTGGCCCCACAAAACAGGCCAACAACCATTGGATCCTCCTTATGCAAACTCCCATGGCCTTCAATGTGTGCTTTCCTGTGAGCAAGCAGTATGGAATATGGCCCTGCATTTGGCTTTATCCTGCATTATTAGATGTCCAAAACCATAAACACCAAACAAAAGCCTCTTTCATGGGAAATCCTAAGTAGGCATGGAGCCACGTGGATTGAAACAAAGGAAAATGTCCCAAGAACACTTGGCTAACCTTGCCAAAAATGGTCTGATCCAACCTGCCCTTGCAGAGATGTTGGGGCCCCACTGCCGACAACTGTTTTAATCAAAAATTAATTTCCTGGTATGAATGTGGCCCAATTTGCGTTTTGTGCTGGACAAACTGAATCTAGAGCAAGCCTACTGCCTTCAGTGTAACTACTTCAGGACTCCGGTACATAACTGAACACAGGTATATGATGAAACATTGCTACCCTGCCACCTGTTAGCTCCATTTTATCAAGCAATCAAAGCTGAAACTACTCTAAAGAACAACATTTAAGTGCCAGCTCATTTCAAGCAGTTGGTAAAACAGCAAAGAGCTAAACTCAAGACCCTCCCAACTCACAGTGCCACTGCAAGAATATGGTTTCTATCTACTAGGAAGCAATAAATCCTCATCACAGCTCCTTCTCCATTCCAGGCAGATCAACCAAAATCAGAGGAACCATATATGGTAGAGATCATTAGGTGAGGCTCTCTGCTGCCAAAGCATGCAGAACATACCTCTATAATCCAGGTAGTCTTGCAGGATATCAAGCAGTTGAGTCATCTGAGAGAAGAGCAAGACACGGTGGCCACTGGAAGAACATGAGACACCATGAGACTCAGCGTACTGTGACAGCATTTCATAGAGTGGTAGAGGGATTACAATAGCTAACGAGTCACTGTTAGCCACTGTCACATGGCAAGGCCTCATCACCTCTGTCCAATAAACCTCACTGCGTTGTCAGCCCCACATCCAAATGCAACCAGTTAGCTTCATCTGCCACCATCAGCTGCCATATCTAGAGCACGGAGTCACAGAGAGGTAACAAGGCTCTGGCACAGCTCTGCTGCTGGCTGGATGCAGCCTGGTGAGGATCCAAAGGAGCCTGTCTAAAAGGATCCTCAGCTTCAACTGAGCATCACGAGGTCTTCCTCACCACATGACTTGCCACAACAGACCTCACTCAAATCACACACTTTGAAGCATCTTAAATGTTGAGAAAATGTAGGATCAGCATCTCTGTGACAATAGAGCATTTCCTACTCCAGGAAATGACCCTCTAGAGATCAAACTCTGCTTAGAATCATGTGTAAGTGAGAAATCAACTCTCCCCTCTCCAAGCTCTAGGCCTCAGACAGCGCTCTGTTTAAATCAGACTTCACTGTAGAGCAGAACACAGACATTTTCAAGTCCAGAATTCGCACAGGTTGTCAAAGACAACCAAGGGAGAGGCACTCACTCACAAGGTGCTATAGAACAGAACAAAGACCTCCACAACCACATCAGAACTTCCTAAGACCTGTTGAAGCTCTGTCCTTTGGAAGTAATCAAAGAGAAATCACAGGCCAATTAAAAGAGGAGGTAGAATTTGTGTCATGCAGGAGGCACTGCTTCACGAACTGCACAAGAACGCAAACCACAGTTTGATTTTGCTTCCATGAAAGAGCTGGAAGTAAATACCGCACGGTCCTTAGTTTCCAGGTTCTAAAGTCACCAGAGCTCAACACAAGGAGTTCTGAAGGCTGTTCCCAAAGCTGAAGCTTCAGCTTATTCTTGGTTTTGGTCCAGTCAAATTTCTTTTTCACATTCGCTATGCATTCTGCCTCCTGGGCTAACACAGGCACAGTCGCACAAAGGAACTCGACTGATGTCTTGGAAGCCACTCTCAGGAACGCCATGCTCAAACCAGATGTGCTGCACACCATGTCAGATGGTTATTCTCCCAGGTTCCCAAATATGAGAACACGTGAGAGAGTTAATGTTTTGAGAAACGTGTGAAGGGAAGCTACAAAAGTCTTTGGGGTTACTCTACCATCTCCAGTGCAGCTCCTGACACTGAAATGACTTATTTCAGGTAGTCAGTAAGGTGCAATAAAAAGGGCAGTGCTTGTGTTGTGATGAGTATCTGCTCAATCTATGGCTAATTAAGGTAGTTCGCCTTCCCAGTTTGCCTCTTCTCCCTGTGTCAAGTCCACCCTGCCTTCCTCACCCCAACGTGACATACCCAGCATACAAGAATGAAAGGAGTTTATCCAACAAACACAGCTTGCCACTGGCTTCAACAATATGGTCTCCAATCTCAAAGGGTTCTGGCTCAACACCTGGAACAAAAAGCATTTTCAGATGCAGACCTAATACCGTGCAAATGACAACTCTGTGGTCAACCTCAGCATGTCTGCACTGCCTGCGATTGCCAAGCAGACCTCCATGATGCTTGCTTGAGAAGTGATGGCCCTTCTCTGTCCCTAAAGAACATCCTCAGTAGTTCACGAAGAATTGTGATTTCATTGTTTAGGTGAGAGAAGAACAAGTGGAAAGCTGCAGTAAGAAACTCAAATTTCACACAGTCCTCTACTTTATTCCTCATTATTGATGAGCTGTCATGTGGTGGAACTGGTCACAAACTCAAGTACAACATTGTTTATTGCTTCTGCTAAGCATTACACTGCCAAGCAATAACAGAAAACCACTGTGTAAATCAAGAAACTTATTTTTTTCTGTTTCTAGAGAGAGAACAGTGCTTTCTTACCATTGAAAAGGTACGGGTGGGCAACACACTTCCGCAGCTGAATTAAGACATTCTGAAGTGTAACCTTCCTTCCTGCTTCACTTTCAAATGCATCTAGAACAAAAAGCACAGAAAGGGAAGTGAGCAGGAAAGCCCACGCTCCATCAATGAGTGTGACTGGGAATGTCTGGGTACTGAGCACTGCTCTGCAGCGATTCAGCACTGGAGTATCTCTGCAGATCACATCTGCGTTTGAATTTCCCATCTCAAGACTAAGACATCTGTTTTCATGGACCAAACAAAATGTCCCTCGCATTTTTTTGGACAAGCCTTTAGAAATAAGACCCTGATGAAAACTACTCTGCCTTGTCAAACTCTCCGGAACTTTCTGGACTCCCTGGAAAATGTGACTGTCATTTTTCTAAGAGTGAATTATAGATCTAGGAACCATCAAAAATAGTGAAAGAAATTTGGTTGCAGTTAATTTGAATTTTCCAGCAACAACAACAACAAAAAAAGTAATACAGCATAGTCAAGATCTCCTGGGCAACCACGAAGTTAAGGAGAGTTGCATTTCTGCTAGGAGAAAAAAAAAAAACAAACGTGCACATATGCTAACTTTAGAAGAAGAAGGTTCAGATTGCCTGGTGATGTTCATGTAGAGTGCTAGCCCTAGAAGAACAAAGGGACTCCATCCCCCCCATTTTACTTTCCCTACAACACCTAAGCACTGGCAAGTCATACAATGTGGTACGCATAGACAGAAGAGGAGGAATTGAGAGAGAGGGAAATACTTCTCTCTCATATCTCAGGATGCTTTTTTACAGTTAGTTCATATGGGAAGTAACAAGGAGGAAGCTGTTATGGTAACAGTCTGTGGCTGCACTGTCTATATGGCCCTGTGGCTTCCTAACAAACTCATGTCTACGTCCAGTAGGTTTAAATTAACTTTATGGCATCTGTGCTACTATTGGAAAATTTGTAGAGATCCACAGATGCAACATTTCTTGTACCACCCTTTTATCTGAACACAGAAGCAAGTGATAGGAGCAGGCTTATCTCATGAAAAGTATTTTTAATTATTTTTAATGACGGGCTGGCCCAAAGCAGGATCCTGAAGCTGACCCTCCCTGGCTCTGAAACAACTCAGGTCTAGATCCATATGTCTCTTATTTTATCACAAGCTAAACCCCCAAATCAAGCAGCCCAAAGCACTGAATTCAGCATGTTTATTCCATGCATATTCTGCAAGCCAAAGCCTCTTCTGTTTCACTGCAATAGAGCACAAATTTACAAAACAAATTTTACTTTTAAAGTTAACTGATAGGCTTCAAAATTCTCAGTTACCCAGGTCTTTCGTCAAAATGGCCTTGTAGTACTTCCTCTGCAGAGCTGACATTCCATGGTACAGAACCACTTCCACCTTCTTTGGCAGCTCTGCAGCCACCTCAGATTTGACTCTTCGCAGCAAAAATGGCTGCAGAAGATTGTGCAATTCTTTTGCTATGCAGAGGCAGGAAAAAAAGAGGAAATCACTGCATTAAATGTAAGGAATTTATACAGTACCTTCACAACTAAACTTTCAAAATAAACATGTAAGGAACGTTACCTCTATTAGCTAAACGACTCAAGCTCAATTTTACACACAGAGAAACCAAAACATAGCTGCATACCTGAAATACTTAAGAGCTACATCAAGGTAAGTCATTATCACTTTTAGTGGCTTTGTTTTAAAGCTAGTCAGCATTAAAAGGAAGCAAATAAAGAGGACACGACATGCCTGTTTCCTAGTCAAGATAGCAGCTGATTCTGACTTGAGTACAACACTGCTTATTACTGACCTGGCTCACTCTCTTTTTCGATCCCTTGGTAATACTCAACAAACTCTGTCACTTGTTCCCTAGGAAAGATGTCAGGCTCGACAAGGCTGAGTAAGGAGTACAGTTCCTGGAGGCTGTTCTGGATTGGAGTGCCTGTGAGCAGCAGGCTGAAGCCTACTGAGAACTGAAAGAACCAGCAACAAAACAAAATTACTAGGAGACAATATCTGGAATGAAAAGTCACTCAATATACAACTCCACTCATGCCACTCTTCAGCTTAACTTAAAAATGAGAGGTAGCACAGAACTGCCCGCAGAACGCTGCCAAGTCTGCCAAAACCATCCAACATAAGGTACGGTGTGACAGCCAAACAGCTCCACCAAACTGACCAGGATGGCACCAATGCAATGAAAACAGCGCAAGCAAAATAAGAACAAAATGCAAAACCAACACCATCCAAATTCTCAGATCGACGCTCTCTGCAGTGCATACTCAGGGTTAGGTAACGAGAGATGACTGGAAAATGCTGTCGGAATAGGACAGTGAAATGAAACTGCAAGAGATTACGTCCCATTTCTATTTGCTGGCTAACTGACAAACTCAGCAACGTCATCTGGTCCATGTTGCTGACAGTAATCCCTGTAAAGGGACTTGGGGAATATGGTTACCTTTGAAAACACACAAGTCTTCTCTCAAGTTTGGTAACAGGAAATACGTTAGGAGGAGAGCTAAGGTGAATCATGCCTAATTCTTTGTGGCTACAACCAAGGCTCCTGAAATACAAACATCATGGACAGTGCCTCACCACCCTCAGAGGGAAGAATTTCTTTCTTATATCCAATCTAAATCTCCCCTCTTTTAGTTTAAAGCCATTGTCCCTTGTCCTATCACTACATGCCCTTGTAAAAAGCCCCTCTCCAGCTTTCCTGTAGACCCCCTTTAAGTACTGGAAGGCTGCAACAAGATCACCCCGGAGCCTTCTCTTCTCCAGGCTAAACAGCCCCAACTCTCTCAGCCTGTCTTCATAGCAGAGGTGCTCCAGCCCTCGGATCATCTTTGTGGCCTCCTCTGGACTCGCTCCAGCAGCCCCATGTTATTCTTGTGTTGGGGGCTCCAGAGCTGAACACAGTATTCCAGGTGGGGTCTCACGAGAGCAGAGCAGAGGGGCAGAATCACCTCCCTCAACCTGCTGGCCACATTTGTTTTGAAGTGTAATGTCATTTAGCAATTTCAATAAACATGGGTGGCTCCATTAAATGGGACAATAGAAGTCAACAGTTCATGACTTGAGGTCCCATGAACTAGGCAAGGGTTCCTTCACTCTCCCCAAGCTGGAGATAGCCTCTTGTTGTCTATACTGCCTTAGGTCAGCAGACTTCTATCACTTCAGTAGCACAGCTGTGGTTCAGCGCTCTATCTGGCTGCTTCACACTTTTCAGCCTCTCAAATTGCTCCAACGTGTCAAGCCCAAACATGAGTCAGAATGACAGATAAGCTCCAAATACAGCCCACATCCCTGCAAAGCCAACAAGATAGGCCTTTCTCTGTCTGCCACTAAATATGGGAATCTGTTCACCAACTCTGATGGAAACTGGTTGTGGCCCAGAGCTTAATAAACACTCAGATAAACAAACAGAGAATCTATATGCTATACTGATGAGGAAAAGGTCTTTAGACACTAAAAGATGGGTGAGTTATTTTACCTCAGAAAGCATCTTGTGAAGCAGAGAACTTTGATTTTTCAGTCTGTGAGCTTCATCTACGACCAAGGCAGCCCAGTTAAAGCTGAAGAAACACAAAACATCATCTTCAGTTAGGGGCTGACAATCTTTTAGTCCAAAAAGATTGAAATAAGTGGTGGCTCTGCTTGGCTGAACTTGAGATGGTCCCACCCCGGGAACAACAAACAAACATCACAAGTGAGGTGGGAGGAATTCACAAGTACTGGTTTTCAAGAGCCAACACAGCTTCATAACTAGAGCCTGGCTAGTTTTTCTGAAATCAAAAGTAAATAAAATTGCTTGAATTTCTTTCTTCTTTCTCCATCCCTGTTTCTCTGGGAAAACGACATAAGCACAAGTTAGTCAAATATTCAAGGAGGTCTATGATTTGGAAAACCAGATGTGAAACTAGGCCCTAGGACCTGTGCAGAAACCTAACAACTATGATGAGGTAGTGGTGGCAGAGCCATAACAAGCCTTTTGAAAATCACCCAAGACAGGAGTTTCAACTCGCTCTGGGCTTGATACAGCTATATGCAGTATCTCATCAAGTAGGCTGCAGCATCACTGGTGACTTAGTAGATCCACCAGGATCTACTGGATCTACTTAAGTAGATCTAAGGATCTACTTAATATAAACTGCAGATCTTTTCAATCCTCAGTGTTTGTGCCTGCTTATCATTAGGGTTTCAACTCCCACATCACAGAACGACCTCCACACAGTCAAGTCCAGCTGATGGGTAGGCAGGGGAGGGACACCATGATCCTTCAGCTTTTCTTACCCACACACTTCCCTTCCCAGAGAAATACAAGGGCTGAAATCACAGCGACCTACACTCTCCTCAAAGCTCTTCTGTTTCCTTTGATTCCTCTCTTTGCTATTTAAGAGTGGTTCTCCATTGCCAGGACAGTCAAATGTCATTATTCTTATTCTACAGGTACAGCAACTGAATTGCAGAGGGGACACTTCAGTGTGAAGCACTGCAGAAGCTCATGTGCAGAGCAGAGTCTGATCTCTCACGCGTTAAAAAGAGCAGGGCTCTTGCTCAAGTCATTTGTGCTGGTAAGGAGCGGTGGTGATGGGACATCCGATAACTTTGACCCCCCCTTTACAAACTGCTCCAAGGTACAAATGATTAGCAACTACTTTTTTCAGAAGGAAGACTAGAGAGGGAAAACCCCCAGGCTCAGGTGACATGGCTTTGAGGTTATGTGCTAGCCTTAGAAGTAGGAAAATGCACTGGAGCTGATGTTTGTGTGCAACTAAGGCTAGTGACTTGCTCTCCCTGCGTACTACATACTAGGCCTAAGCTGAAAAATAAGCAAAATCATACACAGCAGTGAAGGATGTGACATGAAACTGTAAGGACAGTGTGGCCATGGCTACCTTTCACAGCGTTGGGCTTCTATCACGATGTATTCATCCAGCACAATCTGCTGTTTCCAGCAGTGGCTAAGGGCAGGTGCTTTGCAGAAAGACAACAGGGCACCCGCAGCGGACCTGACTAGCTCTGAGAGACCCAAAATTGTGTCAGCGGGGGCCACTGGGTTTCTGCTCCTACAAAGATCCTAAGCCATTCCTGATACCTGGCTGCCCCCAGCATTTGTCACGGCACATCACTGTTGCAAGGCATTGGTGCTAGTGCTAAAAAAATAGGAAAATTCCTCCTCATTTCGAGTGTAGGCTTCTGTAAAATCCTGTATGACCATGACAATACTTCCCACAGGCTGACCTTCAGCTGTATAATCAGTTTTCCTAGAAAGCATAATGCTCCATAAACTCTCCACAATTCTGACTGGTGGCAATAGGCAATAAACTTCAGGATGTGATATTAGCACACGATCACTGTCGTATAATGCAGGTCAATTTCAGCAAATTTTGCATCTAATACCTTTATAATCTGAAGATCTTCAAGATTTCCTCTGTTCTAAAATTCAGTCTTCTGGACTGATCTTTAGTGCACTGCTACAAGCCACTAAGTATAATTTATTGTGAGTTAACTGGCTTGAAAGTTGTCCTTGGGGGAAGTTCATGTACGTCTTAGCTAGCTGACATTAAAGCTTCTTCGTTGAAAGCTGGTAAAGACAAAGCTCTAATCACGAGTAAAGAACATCCTTGGCTCTTGTGAAACAAGCACAGGATCTCACACACACACAAACATGCGCTGAAGAAATCGCTGACAGATGTGCAGAATTAAATTTGAAAAAAATTAAAGCCAGACTTACCATTTCAGAAACGCTGCATCTTTCAGACAAATCTGCAATGAAAGGAAATGAACCATGATTTACGACTTAAGTTAATAATCAGTTAAGAAACAGAGCATCTGGGTTTTTGCATCTACTTGCAAACCAGGGTGGAACGGAGGAGAATGGAAAGAAGCCATTTATTACCTGAGGAAAGTAATGTGACAGCTATTGTAACCACAAGCTGTTGTAATCCTACATTTTAACTCTTGTCTGGCAAAATACCAGCAGTAGAACCTCAGAGAACTAATGGAAATTCACACACCATAAATGCTCTTCAACTCTGTAAAGTTTTTCGTATCTTTCTCACTCAGTAAGAAACACCACCCACCTTCAGCACCACAATATTTTTCACTCTAACCAAGCATATGCTTCTGTGGATTAATCTGAGCTATTACAATGACCTGATAGTATCCTGAAGTGTAGACATTGCTTGCCTAACTTTAGATTCAGAGGAAGAGAAATCAGGTTACTGAGGAGAAATCCTTAAAAAAGCACAGAATTTTATCATCAAAAGCAACACACAAGAAAAATCTTAGCTAAGTGAGCATCTCCATACAGTCGATCGCTTTCTTGGACTTGCTTCACTATGAGCACCTCCATTTACCATGTTCAGGACAAGGGTTACCACTGTTCCCCACTCCTGCTTGTGAAACATGGAAAAAGATGCAGGTTCGGAGCAGTCAGCACAGGTCACGCAGCTCCCAGTGGGAACAGACAGTAAAATACTTGGAGAGGGAAAGTGAAAGGGCAAAGAGACAGGGAGATCAGGGGGTGGGGTGGGGGAGGAGCTCTAAGAGATGCTTTTCATCTGATTTCAAGTTGATTAAGAGAGTGTTAAAATAAAATCAAAGTGCTGATATGAAGCAATGTCTGACTGGGCCTGACTCATAAGAGAAAAACAAAGGCTTTTTCCCACTCCAGATAACTAAGCACCAGATCAAAGTCCAAAGCAGTGACCAAGGAAGCAACTCTATTCTGGTTGGTCCCATTTACAGCAGGACAGGCCCTTCTCAGGAGAGCTCTGACCAGATTCAGCCCAAAGTCCTACCAACTGTAACAAGGACTTGACCATTTTGCAGTCCAAGAACGAATTTTTGTCTGAGGAGGGCCTGCTGAAGAGGGCACAAAAAAGGCAAACTCTTTCTAAGTGTTCTTCCATTGCCTGATTAATAGGATCTTCATAAACATCACCAGTACAAGTACAGTACCAGTACAAGTTGGGGACTGAACTGTTGGGGAGCAGCACAGAGGAAAGGGACCTGGGGGTCCTGGTGGACAGCAGGATGACCATGAGCCAGCAACGTGCCCTTGTGGCCAAGAAGGCCAATGGCATCCTGGGCTGTATTAGAAGGGGTGTGGTTAGTAGGTCGAGAGAGGTTCTCCTCCCTCTCTACTCTGCCCTGGTGAGGCCGCATCTAGAATATTGTGTCCAGTTCCGGGCCCCTCAGTTCAACAAGGACAAGGAACTGCTTGAGAGAGTCCAGCGCAGGGCCACAAAGATGATTAAGGCAGTGGAGCATCTCCCTTGTGAGGAAAGGCTGAGGGAGCTGGGTCTCTTTAGCTTGGAGAAGAGGAGACTGAGAGGAGACCTCATTAATATTTATAAATATGTAAAGGGTGACTGTCATGAGGATGGAGCCAGGCTCTTCTCAGTGGCATCCAATGACAGAACAAGGGGAAATGGATCTAAGCTGGAACATAGGAGGTTCCGCTTAAACATGAGGAAGAACTTCTTCCCAGTAAGGGTAACAGAACACTGGAACAGGCTGCCCAGAGAGGTTGTGGAGTCTTCTTCTCTGGAGATGTTCAAAACCCGCCTGGACGCGTTCTTGTGTGATCTGATCTAGGTGGTCCTGCTCCAGCAGGAGGATTGGACTAGATGATCCTTTGAGGTCCCTTCCAATCCCTGAAATTCTGTTATTCTGTGATCACACATGTATGCTTCTATTAAGTGTTAAAGGTCTGTAAGACACATTCCAAGGCAATGAAGACACCATTTAGCATCAGTTAAGGATGGACACGTGTCTGTTTTCTTTACTCAAGGTGTGACACAGTTATGCAGTAAAGCTGGGGTTAAAGCAGATTATCTCAGGGACACAAAAACTGCAGCAACTTAGATCGGTTTGTGAAATGGGTTATGGAGTAGAAAACCACTGAGGAAGGTCAGAGAGGAGTACAGGGGGCAAAGCACGAGCTGGGTGGTACAGAGGAAAAACTCGAGCCCTCCTTTCAAGTGACAAAGACATCACGTACTTCATACGTTGTCAAGAGCGCACGGAAGTGAGATTGCTCCTTCAGGTTTTGCTGCAGTTTGGGCCGCTCCTCCTTGCTGCCTGTGTATGTCACAAAGGAAAGACATGGAGCAAACCTGTTGTCCAGAGAAAGACAGAGAAAAAACAGTGAGCCCAGCTCAGTCTTCCATGTGTTTTTGACCCTGGATCCCATTTTCAGACATAGCTACTGCACAGATAAAAAGAACCTCCCATCCAGACATTCTGCCCTCCTGTGAGATATGGCTGGATCTCAGCTTTGGAATCTAACCCCTTCCTGACTAATTTGCATCTCAGGTTGGCACCTCAGCTGCTGGTTCTGGTTTGGACAAATCCCAAACAAACTGCGTTCCCCTAGGTCTCACAGTCCAAGGCAGACGACTGAAAACCAGTCTCATGGCCCATCTGTTATTCTGAACTGAAAAAGCTCATGAGAAGCAGGTGAATGGTTTGCCCAGTTGGGACTGAAGAATTGGCCTAAGTCACGCTAAAATAAAGGCAGGCAATGTCTGCAGCAAAAAGGTCCAAGTCAGGGCATCAAAAATCTATCCTCTTCGTCAAAAAGCAGATAAAACCAGTTCCATGGAGGAAAAGTTGGGACCATAAAATTCTTCCTCATTTAATCTCACCGCTGATACCTGCCTAATGTTCCTCCTGGATAGCTGTTCACTGCCTATCTAGGAAGGGATGCACCCTCCCCCAACTATTCCAACTGCAAGTCTACTCAAATCAGGCCAGCTCACTTCAGAACGCAACCTGTGCGACTTCGGATGCTGAGAGGCAGCATCGCCGAACAGCCACACAGATAGACTTCTGTTCTAATACTTTTTGTCCTTCCTCTTAAGGAAGGGATGCACTTTCCTCTTAAGGAAGGGCAGAAATCTTTGGGCTTCAGCAGAATCTTGGGCTCCAGCTTAAAAATGTGTGAATTCTGGGCTTTGCAAACGTGCCATCAGCACAGTCACTGTACCCCAGTGAGGACAAGCTGCATGCACAGATGTATTTTGCATGCATATACAAGCATGCCACGAAAGATACTGTTCAACTTGTGTCTTACCTTTTACTGTACAGAATCCTGGCTGTCTTCTGCAGATTTTTGCCTAAGAGAGGCTGAGCACGGAGGGTTATAAATCAATAAAAAGCCAGGAGCTAGTGGGACTATTTGGACTTCAAGTCAGCCATACTGTAAGTTGGATGAATTAATGTATACCACAGCATACAGACTATGCTGCATAGTTTGCATTGATTTGCTGGTTTAGTAGCTTCGCTTTTTCACTTTTTTTCCTTTTGAATGGAATAAAACTGTTGGACTGACCACATTTGAAGAGAATCTTTGTAACTTGATGTGCAAGAATATGACGAGCTGGACAACTGTTGAATCTTACCTCTCCAGTTCGTCCTTCCAGTTGCTCAGAACAGAGAGAGGACAAAGTATCAGAAATTTCTCTTTGTTCGTTAATTTTTTTGTCAAATAAAGAAGTAGAGAAATAGTCTAGAAAAAAAGGAAAATAAATTTCTCGATAACAACAAAAAGGTTCAACCCAATAGCCTGAACCTACATAAACTGTTTCCTTCTTGAGCTTTGTAGCTAGTTCCTACAGCTTCTCTAGCACAAAGCAGAGCTAACAGAACATCAAATGAGACCCACTATCAATGACAAAAAAGCCTAGATCCCAAAACATGACCTGGAGCTCCTTTCCAAAGACTTTTCTCCTACAGTCACAAAAAAGATCTATCATACCTCACTTTCTAAAACTACTAGTTTGTTATTTAAGACCCATTAAATACCACCAGCTGAACCAAAGCACAGTCATTTTCCAACAAAACTGAAACCCACTGAAAAACTTACAAAAAAAAAAAGCTCTGTTAAATTTACACCTCTACATTTTAATCCACGTGTTGACAAACTCAAAAATCATTTTGCTGCAGGTGTATCAAAACGACATCATCTTCTCTGTACTGGCTGTTTATTGTGCCTTCTACACTGTGCACTAAGAATTATGCATTAAGGTGTTGGTATAAAACAACCACTCATCTTTTTACAGAACTCTGAAACGTTTTTAGAGTATTACTCAGGACTTCACATTTGTTTTAAACGATTAAGAAACGAAAGAAACAATGAGCTCTCTCTTTTGAGAGACTGATCATCAGGGTCTTTCTTTTTCATTCTGCAGAAACACTGGGCTAAAAAAAAAAAAAAGTTAGGCAAAACTAATTTTCCAGAAGAAGGAGGAGGAGACACACCTGACAAGTCTTCCCAAGGCCCATCTCATCGCCCAGGATACAGCCATGCTGGATTTCGTAGCATTGCACCAGCCAGTTTACACCTTCTATTTGATAGGGACGAAGTTTAATGCCTGGGAATAAAAGCAGTTTGTTACGTTAACAGAGTCATTCAATACACTCTACATACAGTTACACCTCAAAGCCACCAAAACCAGGTCCTGCTCAGCACAGGCCTTCCCAAACACCTGTCTCACAGGAAAAGCACACCGGTTTTCAGCAGAAGCTAGTTTACCCTATCGCAAATCCATCCAATTAAACCATATTCAGGAACTTTAAAATACATAAAAATGCCCCAGGTCATTACAAAGGCCTGTACAAGGAACCTAATCTGGTAATTAAAACTGTTACTTTGCATTCTTAAACGACAGCTTGACTTTCACCTCCAGCCACTTTTTAAAACGTGTTCGAGTTCTAGACTTAAGAACACACTTTAGGCTACCAGAAACGTCTGTAACCATCCACTATTGTATCATAATAACTTCTCAATGAGATGTTTTCCGGCTTTTCTGCACTTAAGCTACAGCAGACCTCAATTGTAGGTCACTGCAGCTACTATCATGGAATGGTTAGGGTTGGAAGGGAC